GATATGGAAAACAGATTAAGGTGGTTCAGCATAGACAGAGTCTCTGATTTTAAAAAGCTAAAGTAGTGGAACAGAGTAGGTATTTAGAAATATAATTCAAGAAAACTTTCCAGAAATAACAGAATACTTAAATTTGCATATTGAAAGAACATACCAGGTGAAAATGACCCAGAATGGTTAACAGTGAGATAGATCTTGGTAAAGTAATTGGACTTCAGAGAGAAATAATTCTGTGGGTGGCCATACAAAAAGACCTAGTCACTTATAAGAGAGAAAATAATGAGTTTGCCTTAGATTTTGCAAATTTTAATGCCAGAAATAATAAACCAGTACCTTCAAAGAAATTCAAGAAAGGAAAATGAGAACCAAGAAAGACCAAAGACTACTGAAAAAAAAATTGAATATTCAATAATGTGAGTGAAATGTATTGCTGTGAAATAATTTTGTTTTTATGAGCACTTGAGGAAACTATACATGATGAACACAAGCAAACAGATAACTAGGAAAATTAAGATAAGAGGACTTGTATTATTGAATATATTCAATTTCTAGAGCTAAGCCTAAAATGAAAGTAAGATTAGGGTGAAAGGAAAAAAAAAAATGCACCCTAGTAACTAACAATACTGGAGGAGGAAAGGGGAAAGAAGATGGCATATAGAGTGATTCCTCATGTGCAATAACTGAAAATTAAAGGATGATATCTCAAGCTGACAAATCAAGTAGTAGAAATATAAGCATATTTAACAAAACAAAGGTACTTTTGCAAACTGTAAAACTGGAGCAATGAGTTTGATAGATTGTATGATAGAATACAGCCTTATAAAAGAATGGGGAAGGCATCTTTGCACTGTCAGGGAGAGTGATCCATGATAAATTAAAAAGCAAGATGCAGAACAGGTTGTAAAATATGCTACCATTTATGTAAAATAAGTAGAAAAATAATATGTGTTTGTATATATTTAACTTTTTAAAACTCAGGAAGGATACAGTAGAAACTTTAAGATAAAGGTTACCATTTTGGGATAGGGCTTGAGAGTGGTTATATGGGGGACACATAGGAGGTTGAATTTTTCATTGTTATTTTCTTCCTTGTCTTATTTTTCACACATGTGCATGTATTACATATTCAAAAATTAGATTAATGAAGAAAATCAAACCAGACATCCCCTGTAAGTTCTGGTCCTATATTAAATCTTAGACAAAACTTTGAGATAGTTTTAGTTGGCATCTCTGCAAAATCTCATGGATTTTCATTCTTTCCCAGCATATAGTCTTGTTAAGTGTAGGCTTCCTGTATGAGGCCCTCAGACCCTATAGATGAAGAAAACATTTTTCTTTGAATGACCTGCCATTTCATCTAGACAACCTCCCTGTCCTTTCTTAATTTGTGTGTGACATAATCAGTAATTGTTAAGGGTGGTTCTATATAATTAAGTGAAGGTTCATTTCTAACCTGTTGTGTAGGTTTCTTTATGTGATTAGTCTTGGAAGGCATTGGGCTTCCATGATGAATGATCATTTCCTTGTGAGTCAATATCTAATACTCATTTGCAGCCTAACGTGGTCAAAATAGAACTCTTTTTTTTTTTTTTTTTTTTTTTTTTTTTTGAGCCGAGGTTTCACTCATGTTACCCAGGCTGGAGTGCAATGGCGCGATCTCGGCTCACCGCAACCTCTGCCTCCTGGGTTCAGGCAATTCTCCTGCCTCAGCCTCCTGAGAAGCTGGGATTACAGGCACGCACCACCATGCCCAGCTAATTTTTTGTATTTTTTTTTAGTAGAGATGGGGTTTCACCATGTTGACCAGGATGGTCTCGATCTCTTGACCTCGTGATCCACCCGCCTCGGCCTCCCAAAGTGCTGGGATTACAGGCTTGAGCCACCGCGCCCGGCCCAAAATAGAACTCTTGATAATGAATCTTAACTTCAGGGCTCTGTGAAACAGGAAACAGATGATTTTTTTTTCCAGTTAAGGAAAATGAGACATCAGAAGCTTGTGACTTACCACAAGTTACCCAGAAAATAAAGAGTTAGGCTGGGGAAGATACAACCATGATTTCGTGGATGGTGCCTTGGCTCCCAGACAGTACCAACTGACTTAATCGTTGATACTGTGTATCCTGCCATGGTGATAGAGCACAATGGATTGAATTGTTGGAGTTTCCCCTTCATTTTTTGGACCTTATGCAGTTGTCCTTGCAAAGAGATTCTCAAATTCACACACATATGCACACGTACATACACACAATGTGATTCTAATTCACACACATACAATGTGATCCTAATACACACACACACACGCTCTCGTGCTGTCTCTCTCTCACTCTCTCTCTCTCCCCCCCTCCCTCCCCCTGTCCCACCCCCCTCCCTCCCTCTCTCCCTCTGTCTCTCTTTCTCTCCCTCTCTTTCTGTTTCTCTCTCTCTCTCTGCATTCCTAATTGCCAGTAATAAAATTGTTACCTTTTGTGTGTGATTTAAGATAAAGGGAATGTTCATGAAGTGGTTCTCATTACCTTGAACTCTGCTTTAAGTTACTTTTTCATAATAAATACAAGTATTCTGCAGCATTTTCTAAAATTTTTCTAAATGCATTGGCTCTAATGCATTAATTGTATTGCATTTTTACCTTGATTTCTAAGGCTGTATTTGTAAAATGGAGATGATAATCTTTGCCTTCTTCACAGGATGGTAGTGATTACTAAATGGGACAGTGGATGTGAACATACTTTTGTAAAACTGTAAATTGTTTTACAAATACAGAGATGGTGGTGCTAGTTTTACATTAATTAGATCTTATTGCCTCTCCATATATTCATGCCATGCCATTCTGTCCCTTGCAGATCCACTTTTTTCTAGTAATAAAATTATGAGAGCCCATTATATACTTAACATTCGTTTGCATTAGCCTTTTCCCTTCTGTTTCTTTTTCTGTCCACACCTTCATCTGAATTAAAAACTATTTGAATAATGATGTACACAGATCTTTGTAATGAACAGTACATAAACAATACTGTAGATATAATTTTAAAACCCTTATGAGTAAACAGGCTTTGTAAACAGACCTGTGTTTTTTAATCCAGGTGTCACCCTATATTGGCTATGTGACCTTGGGAAAGTTATTTAATCTCTTGTAGGTTCAGTGTTCTCATGTGTAAAGTGGGGGATAATGTTTATCTTCTGAAGTTGTTGATGACTAAATGAGATTCTTTTTACAAAGCACTTGGAACATTGCTTTCATAGAATGTAATCTACCCTAATATCTTCAAACAAACCCATTCTAGTTTAAACATAATCATTACTTGATGTTAATAGTTTTTACTATTTTGTTTCTGGTCCTTTTTGTAAAGTAAGTTACATTGGTAAAGATCAGAAATTTAAGATTCACAGTTGTTTTAGATACTTGCCATTTACTCACTGGCATGAAAAATGGGAGAAGTAAATCACATAACAGTGTGCATTATTTTACTTCTGGTTTATTTGTGTGTGTAGGAACCTCAAAGCACCTCAGATAGTTTTAAAATAGTATGCGTTTATTTAATATATTTTACAATTACCTGCTATATACTTTGCATTACTATTAGGCTTTGGAATACGGAAGTGAAAAAGATAATTGATGTCTGTATTGAAAGTCATCATTTGTTCAAGGAGACAAATAAGTAATTATAATATCAGAAGTACTATAATAGCTTTGGGAAGCCAGAGGGGTGCTTCCTGCCTCTTCAGGATAGGTGCGGAATCTTGAATGTGCTTCCCAGGGAAGGTGACACCTGAGTCAAGTCTGCAAAGAGCCAGACTTGGAACGTGAAGCCATCTCTTCCAGGCTAAGGAAATGAAGTTCATATTAAGATGATGAAGAGCCATTAAATGCTTTTATTTAGAGCAAGATGAACAGATTAAGAATTGCTGATAATTACCTGGAAGCACACCTCCAAGCAAGGGGAGCAGCATCAATTTTATCATCCTCGACATTGCTACCATTTAACACCTGCTCCGTCTCTGACTTCTGTATATATTATCTAATTTAATGTGCACCCTTGAATTAGATATTATTGCCATTATATTATACAGGTAAGGAAACACAGGACAATAGAGGTTAATAGAGGAGTGAGTGACTGGACATGCAAGAGAGAATATGTTTGATTACCTTCCGTTTCACCTGGTGATTCTAAATAGAGATGATTTGTTGATCCTCAGTCTTGATTTTCATGTTTCATATTGTGAACATTTTACTGAATTTGGTTTGATTATAGAATCTAAAGATAACACATATTCCCTCCAAGATAGCTTTAAACCCAAATCTGTCATTTCATCTGGTGCCCAATCCAAGGAACTCTGGTTTATTCTAACACTAGAGGGAAAAAATGGCTATGTTAGACTCACTGAAAGAGAACATTCCAGTCTCCAGTGTAGAACTGCACCTTTTCTAGAGCATATCACCTTAAATAATTTTTAGCCCTATCCTTTAGAACACTTGTAGGATGTAAACCACTTTGCTCCCTCTTCTGTCTCCTTTTCCTCTTAATTCTGTTAAGAAAATATTTGAAATGAAACTTCATTGGGATATGAAATGTTTTAGTTGTGTAATTGTTGAAATCTCATATGTAAGTTAGGACCTAGCTTTTCTAGTAGTTTGAAACTTGGTTTTTTTCATGTTTCTGCTCCATGTTTATGTGGTATATTGAAGCAAAAGAGTAAGAGGTGATAGTATTTGAAAGTTAAAAAACCCTGATTATTAATCCTGCCACAGTCTTCATTAACTTTCTAAACATTGTCAAAATTGGCCATTGATCTTCATCCTTAGTTCTTTCATTGAAAATAGAAATACAATAGAGTGAGAAATCACCTAAAAAAAGAAAATAGAAATAAAGTATCTCTTCTCTCCTGGAAATGTATTTAAATGAATTTTTAAAATACTTGTATATAACTAAAAGTGATATTGCAAAGATAGCATGTATATAATTTTGACTTGCTTTACTCACCTTTTATTCTCTTTATTTCAGCTCAATCTGAAATCGAAGTGTCTGTCTCTGCAAGGAATATCAGAAGGCTACTAAGTTTCCAGCGATATCTTAGATCGTCACGCTTTTTTCGTGGTACTACAGTTTCAAATTCTCTAAACATTTTAGATGATGATTATAATGGACAAGCCAAGGTGTGTATAGTTTTTTTAAATAAAACATTAATTTTTGATAAGTTTACTGAAGCCCTTTATTCCCCATATAGTAATGATTTGTAGAGCCTTTTTTTCTATGAAAAGCAGTTGAGGCCATTTTCCAGGTTTTTTTCTTTAGAGCAGCTGTTTGTTTTATAAGTAAGCATTACAGAGCAAGGGAAATTGAGCAGTGACAATGTTTTCATTTGTTATTACAACATTACATAACAAGTAGATCAATAGAACATTAAACTGTAAGATCTCACAGAATCATAATGCTGGGAAGAATCTTAGAGCTTATCTGATCTAATCACATGTCCGTATTCCATCAGTAAGGAAACTGAGTCCAAGAGAGCACAAGGGATTTGTTTGTGCTCACCCAGCTGATTAGAGGTAAACCCAGCACAGGAAATTGGGTCTCTCCCTCTGTGTGTGTGTGTGTGTGTGTGTGTGTGTGTGTGTGTGTGTGTGTGTATTAATAATACCTTTTCACAAAGGTCTTGTGACTTTTAATCAAATGAGTTTTCATAGTCTCTTACATGAAGAGAGATTTTGAGGGTTTAGATGTATCATAATCCTGTTGATTTTGAGCATTATTTACTTCATCTTTATATAATTTAAAAAGAAATGTCTTACTGAACGTCAAGGTTAAATAACCTTGTTTTTAACCAAATGAGGATTTTAAATAATCTTAAATATTCAATGTATTTTAAGTTATTATTTGACTTAATATTTATAAGACTAGATTTTTAAGTTTGCATAGGTTAAGTTTTTAAGTTGTGTAGATAAAGCTGGCATGTCTTCTTTACAGTTACATGAAAGTGGAAAAAAATGCTTCCCTGTTTAGTAAAATACATCGGTGGAAAGTCTTCATGCTTGCTTTAAATGTTAAAAAGTTTACAAGTTCTGCCTTTTAGAATGAGAATATTGATCTGTATATTATTTGTTGTTATTCATACTGTCATAATTAATGATCTCTACTAGTAGTATCTTAGTGTTGCCAATGTCAGTGTATTCAGAAATGTATACAACAGTGAACCTTTGGATGTAAAAGTTTTTTTCTAGAAAAAGTCCACAAAATGTTCAGGTTAAGATTATATGGTATACAATAAAGAAAATATAAAAAAAAAAAAGAATATATGGTATAAAAATATTTGGGTTTTAGGATCTTTGTAGGATTTGTTTGCTTGGCTGAAGTACACATTATCCTAAAAGTTAATGTAGTAAATTGTATTATTTTATAAGCATATTTAGATAATATAAATAAATATCCATAAGTTAGTGTTTTTTAAAAACTGAACAACAAATAATTTAAGCATGATATGGTATCAGTGTCAGATGCCTAGGTTCTAGAAACAGATTACTAACTTAAGACCGAGCTCTATCACTTTATAGCTGAACAAATTAGTTTTTTTTTTTTTTTTTTTTTTTTT